CCGGGCTGTAGGACCACCTGAATGCAGAGCAGAACTCCTCCCAGAGCGATGGCCACTCCTCCCAGCAGTCTGCCGAGCTCTTCATTGCTGCAAACAGTCAACTGTAGGTGCTGAGGGACGATCCTGTCCTTCTGCTGTCGTGAGCCGTGCCCCCCGCCAGCTCCAGGATCTCAGTGGTCAGGCACTCGAGCACAGCTGGCAGGTAGATGAGAATGCGTCCACAGAACATCCTTTTCAACTCATTTGAGATTTGGGGCTGTAGTTGAGATATTATTTGAGCTTTTGAGATGTTAATCAGCTGCTGGTTGTAGAAAACTGCCTTGTTACCATGGTTACACATCATAACAAATGTCCAAAACTAAAAATGTTTCAGTAAAAATCCTTCCAGCTGCACAGCATCTGATACCAGAGGAAACAATCATCCAGAAAATGTGATTTACATCCAGAAAAAGAGGAATTAAAGTTTCCAAAAGCAAAATCTCAGAATGAAAGTAACAGAGCTGCTCCAACATGTGGCCACCTGGAGCGGAGCAATTCTAGAACAGATGTTTAAAATCTCTTAGAGAGGTCAAAGGTCGAGAGTTTCAGGTCTGTTTCCAAGATATTCTAAGAAACAGGAGCGGAGTAGGAGAAGGTCCTTTTGTCTAGTTCAGTCCTCACTGAGGGAACACTGCATTAGGGCTGCAACAACTAATCAATAAAATAGATAAGATCAATTATTACAAGCGTTGTCAATGAATTTCATTATTGATTCGTTGTGTCACGTGATTATTAAAAAGGCGCTGCGGAGCCGTTTAGTTCAGCTGCAGTTCATTGTCGATGCTGACTGACTGAATAAAGTAAAAAACAACAACTCTGCAGCGTGAGCTGAACAGAGCGAGGGGGGAGGAGGAAGCAGAGCAGAGTCGGTGTTTTCAAAGGAAATTAAATTAATTTTACAAATGACCGAAAACTGTTCGACACAAGTCCTCCAAAGTGTGGGAGCTCTTCACAAAGATAAAAACTGAGCAACATGCAGCTTTGAAAAGTGACGACACGACACGGGAGAACCACGGAGATGAACGTAAACATGTCTGAGTCACGAGGAGGAGGAAGGAGCTGAACAGCTGATCCAACTCTTCATGTGTTGCAGGTGAGTCTCTACAATATTCTACATTTG